TATTATAAAGCATGAGGAAAATATTGGAATCTTCATTGCAACAGAAACTGCAGTTCCATCCTTATGTACTCTTTGTATCTCAAATACATGACGCCAACTTTGCTCTATTTCTGGGCATTTAGCAGTCACTCAATGTGGGACAGAGATGGTGGTCAGGTAACAATGTGGATGTCAGTAAGGCCAGGATGAAGCTTGGAAGAGCAGAAGTGACAGGGTGTGTATGCATTTCATGCACTGCTCATCTTGGGGACGGCAGGCAGGTTTAGCTAATCGAAGGAGACGAGAAGGAATGACAGTGAGAATGCCTGACTGTTGATGGGGTTGCCTCAATAGACCGTGGGAATGAATTCCCAGAAAAGGAGAAGGAAAATATTTTGTCCAACCTATTTGGCTTAGAAATGAGTTTGAAAAGTTCTAAGAACAAATTTTGTGGGAGAAGATACGGGACCACTACATCCACTGTAGGATAGAAAGAGTCATGTCAGGACATTTCTGGTGTCTATGACTGTCAATAGCATTTTGCAGTGTGTTCTTCTGGGTTATAGAGCCAGTTCAGAGACATAGCGCTATTCATGTCACTATTTCTAGCAGGAAGCGGGGGAATACAGAGATAGTGAGTCTCTTGGGGCAGTAAAGAGTTGGTCAGTATTGATTTGGAATGAAAGGTAAAGTTTCTTGCTAAATCATGTATCACTCAATCAGTTCACTCCTATGTGTCCCAAGGCAATGCTCGAGTGACAAAGCAATGGTGGTAAACACCAGAGAGCAGCCTGAGGCATATGAAACAAACTTCCTGTCAGTTTGGATATTTGATGCTATCAATTTCTATTTGTTTCCTCTCGGCATAAGAAGGCCATTTAGTGTGTATTGGGAAGCCCACCTTTCAGAAGCCCACATACATGTTGGAGGATTTCTTTGAGCTCTACGTATTTCACGATGCAGGTCAACAAAGGCACCATTCCTGGACAAGTCTGTCATCCTACACCCCACTTATGGGAAGTGAGCCCAAGTACCATTCTCCATACATGCCACAGAAGGAAGAATTTCCACAACTGTGCACCCCCTGGGTATAAGGCATTTAATCTAAACATTAAAAACCTTATATTTGGGGGAGCTAGTCCACCGAGATTTGCAAAACACACAGCACTAAAGTAGCAGACAGCATCTTTATTACAGATGGGAGAATCAGGGAAGACTTAGCACAGGGTCACTTACTCAGCTAAAGCAGGGAGTCTGATGGCTATGCTTCATTCCTTAGCCTGTTTCCCAGAACATAACAGTAAAAATTTGTAGTCTGTCAATAAAAAACATTAAAAAATCTTCAACTGTGGCATGAACTAAATCTGTAACATGGCCTGATTTCATGTAGCCTTCTTGCTTCCCAAGGAAAAAAAGTAGTTTCATTTCAATCTAAATTTCTTGTTTCTCCACCTTTAGTTTTGTGCTAAGCCTTCTAGCTGGGTTGTAACAATGTCTCTTTGTAGAGGATTTTCTAATGGTAAGATTCTGAAAACCAGGGACAGAAAATCCTGACACGCCACAAAACTGCATTTAATTCCAGGATGTCCTGCTACACTGTCTTCTTGTCTCTTTGTAGAGGATTTTCTAATGGTAAGATTCTGAAAACCAGGGACAGAAAATCCTGACAGGCCACAAAACTGCATTTAATTCCAGGATGTCCTGCTACATTGTCTTCTTTATGTCCTGCTACACTGTCTTCTTGAACAGAAACACACTTTTTTTTTTTATACGAATATGAGGTCATGAAAGAAGAACTTGAGATTCTTAAGATCTGTCATTACCTGGGCTCAAATCTTGTTTTTGAGTTTATATAATCCTGGGTTTGGACTGTTGTTTAACTGTTCTCAAAAATCCAGGGGTCTAGATTCAGCACTGAGGAAAACAACTAAACTTAAATACTATCAAGTCTAATACAGTGAATATAAAATTTTTTTTTGATATGACCCTCTTAGAGATCTCCCATTAATTTAAAATTTAATCTTCAATAATTTATCATTCCCTTCCATCAAATCCATCTTGACTTCTCTCTCCAATCCTAAGAATATCTTCTGTACACATGAAAACACAGCGGTACCTCTAAAGTTCAAGCCTTTAAATACTTGTGTAACTTAACTGAAACCTGTGATGGTCACCTTTGCCAGAAAGCCATGGAAATGCGGCCATGTGAGACATGGTCCAGGGAGCTCATGAAAAAGTTACATTTCTGAATAAAAATGATCCCAGATTCTGAGAAACTAAAGTTCTCTTTGGCTCAGCCAAATAGCTTTTTAGCTGATCTTGAAGTTAATTCTGAGCAAGTTTAAGAGCCTTGTTTTGATCTGAAAGTTCCCCAATACTTGTGAGAGTAAATGATGTGGATGGGTCACCATTTTTATTGTTGGCAGCTGCAGAATGAGTTACTGACCTAAAGTCTATTTCCCCTCTGTCCTACGTGCCTGAGTTCTCCTGCCTGGCCTCATGGCCAAGGAGCGGAAGGCACACATCCCCTACAATATGTTAAGCAATTTTTTCTTGGGGCAGAGATTCTGCCAATTCAAGGGTGTTTATCAAGGGAAAATAGTAAATAATCCTCCTCCTACCTCCTGGAACTCCTGTGCCAACTTTCACAATGAAAGCAATGCTGGCAACCCAACTGGCATGAATGAGTGAGCACCTTGCTCACCACGCAGAGGACTCCACACGTGCAACCTTGGACAGTTTTCTGTGCTTCTGTGTCATGCTCCATGACTTTTACCATGCAAACACTGAGGTGCACTTAAATGTAACAACCCACGTGAAGTGCAACTATATATTTAAAAACTAAAAGAGAAAATCAAGTAAACAATTCACTGAACAGTCAGCAGCCCTTGGGTGTCATTGGTATCCTGGATAGGCACCTGTCAACACGCCTGGCCTCATAGCACCAAGCACCTGGACAAAGCTAAGGCTCAAATAAAACAGAGTAGAATAATTCTCCTCTTGCCTCCTTATCTCTTTGCCAAGTAACAAAGGGTTGAAAGAGGGAAATGGTCTAGACCCCAGCAATTTACCAAGAATTAAAAACAAAACCAAAATAAAACAATAGCAACAAAAATAAAAGTCTGAAGGTAGACCAGGGATTTCAGAACTTGTCAGTAGGGACTAATATCAGAATTGAAGGAAAACTAAGAAAGTGTTATCTAGAGAAGGCCCTACAGAATTTGACAATACCATCCCAGAAACCTCTTTGGGGAGGGGTTCAAATGGAAGAATGGGAAAGTTAAATCAGGTTCCCCCAGAGGCATTTGTGTTATGACCTCCTCAAGCTGTGGAAGCTCAAAGTCAGGGCTTAAATTACTTACAGAAAGTAAAGGCTGGAAGACCAGGAATTGGGGGTGTGCATGTGCTTTCGGTAGTTCACCTAGGATACCCCCCACTGCAGGCAACATGCAAGATCCAGCTATGAATGTCAAAGGATAGAAAAAGAAAACTGCTGGGAGAAGGGTCCAACAGTCTTTATAAGTGCATACATCCATTCGGGATTCCATGTTTATATTTCCTCCTAAGAACCCAGAAGCTGACACTTCCTTAGGGATTCTCAGATAGTGCTGAGGAGCATCAAAGTGCACATACTCTCATGCCCAGTGTTCTTTTTAGCTCCTTCCTTTCCAACACTCTTCTGAAGGGTCTACCTAAGAACTGAGAGTTCTTCATGACCCATTTAATCTTCTGCCCCAGTGCACGGCTTGGTAGTGGCTTTTCAGATCTGGCCCACATCCACACATATACACTGTCCCCAGAAGGACTGGGGGAGCCAGGACATTTCCAGCAGAGACACGGGTCATTCACAGCCCTGAGATGAGCAGTCCTGTTGAGAGCAGGAAGACATAGCAGCATCTGTCCTGGGTAAGAAAGGTTTCGTAAGATCCTGTGAGAGTGCTCTTGACATCAGAAGCACTGCGATATTTAATCAATGAATAAATACATGAATAAATAAATAAATAAGTGAAAACACAAGAGGGCTCTTTATAGATAAGCACCTCTTATCAATAAAAAAAAAAAATACCCGCTTGAGTTTCAAAGCCCTCATGCAGTGGTGATTATAGGCTCAAAACAAACTAAGGAAAGTAGAACAATCAAGACAAGAACTGGAAACGTTCTAGCATTGGGTATTTCTCACTTCCTGACACACATATCATCCTAAATGTCCCCGAGGTAGTCTTGTGTTCAAGGAGTTACAGAAGGCTCCAAACCCACTTGGAGCTTCCTGCTGGAATGCCATTGCACTCTCCTGTGCATCCTGCACCTGCCTTCATAGTGTCATGGATAAGGTGAATTCCACTTAGCATTGTTTCCCACACTGTTGACCTGAGTCCTAAGCAGTCCACAGCAAAATGCAATTCCAATATCTGGCTCCAAGACCCCACTCCAAAGAGGACTTTGCCAAAATGATGCAGGTGCTTACCTGGAAGCCATTTTGGGAAAAGCTACAGAATTTAAACAAAGAAATCCGGCATGCAGCAAACACGCATGTCTAGCCCTTGTTGGGCCCCACACTGAAAAGATCGCCCATCACTGTTCCTTTAACTTTTAAGAAAGGGCCAAAAGAAACAGAAAGGAATCAATGTCTTCAAACTGGGAAACATATTTCTAATACCAAGGGCACTACGCACTGTTTATCTGAAGAATGAAGGTGACCAGTTACCAGCACAAGCTACGCAAGAACAGTGTGTGGCTGAAACACCTCAGTGATAAATACATCTTACTCTCTTAGGGAAGAAGTAGTGGCATTCAACAATCCTAGGGAGAACTTGTGCTTGGTCCCCTCCCTCCTCAGAGCCCAAGGTTGGTGTTAGGGCCACCCCACAGGGCAGTCCACACCTGCAGTGAGCCATTCTTTTGGCCAGGAATGTGTTTCGGGTTCGGTCTTCTGACTGGCTCAAACACAAAACCTGGAAGACAATAGGGAGCTGGGCCACTTAGGGGACCCTCAATATTCCAATGAAACTTGGAGATCCTACTTCCATATTCCATTCACTACCATAAGCCATTGGGGAGATCCTGACTTTAATCACACGGAACATGCTTTCTTCCCTTGGACTTAAGTTTTTTAAAAGTCTCATTTGGGAAAAATGCAATTAAAGGCCTTGTAATTTTCTCCAAATGGCCCTGTGAGGAAGGAAAAAAAAAAAAATAGTCCTCTTCCTCTTATTTCACCATCACTGCCCAGGGACCATCCTAACAGGAAACGCTTCAGAACTCTACCCTGTTCAACAAATTCAACATTAAGTTAAATAAAAAATTAAATCAGCATTTAGCCAAAGCTCTGTCCTCCTGTAGGAGGTCATTCAACTCGATGACGGTTGTGGCAAAGTCCACCAGGTCCACGAAGTCAGATGTGATGATGTTGACACCCATGGATCCAGGCTTCTGAGTTTTTACCCAGTCGAGAATGGCAGGAAGATTCCTATACAGACAAAAGTGTTGGGAGAAGAGAACAGACAGTAGAGTTCAGAGGGACCCCTCCAGAAACAGAAACAAAACATTTCCATTAGTACAACAGAAGAATGTCAATCAAAGGACAAGCCCCCAGAGGTATGTCCCTTTAAGCTTTACATCTCCTTCAGAGATGAAGTGGTCTTTATTCCATTAGAGAAGTACATGTTCCAGGGTTTCTTTGTGGAAGACGAGATTATTTGTCCCAAACACCAAAGAGATACCATGTCAACCGGACCTTGAAAAACTAAGATCAAACCCTAATTATTGGTGGGTTCTTTAATTTTGTTTTTATCATGAAAATTTTCAAACATATGGCAACACTGAAAGAATTTTATAGTAAGTATATCCACCACCTAGATTCTACTACTAACATTTTACTAAACTTGCTCACCACATATCTATCCATCAGCCCATCATTATCCTTCCATCAATCCATCTTATATTTTTGACATATTCCAATTACAAACATCTATACACATCCCCTAAATACTTCAGCAAGAATATGGTAACTAGGATTCAATACTTGTTTTCAGTTTGTTTTTCTTTTGACATAAAGTTTACCTCCAATAAAACGTGCAAATCTTAAGTATACATTTGCTGAATTCTGACAAACGTACACACATGACCCAAACCCAAATTAAGATATAGAACATTACCAGCACTCCAGAAAGTTCCTGCATTCTCCTTCCCCACCAGTGCCTGCCCCATCCTCCCAGAGACAACAACTATGCAGATATTTCTCTGCCCATAGATTAGATTTGCCTGTTCCAGAACTTCATATAAGCCACGCAGTATGTATTCATTGTGTGTGAGCTTTCTTTCACTCAGCCTAATGCTTCTGAAATGCATCCATGTTGCTGCATGTATCACAACAACTATGCAGATATTTCTCTGCCCATAGATTAGATTTGCCTGTTCCAGAACTTCATACAAGCCACGCAGTATGTATTCATTGTGTGTGAGCTTTCTTTCACTCAGCCTAATGCTTCTGAAATGCATCCATGTTGCTGCATGTATCAGTAGTTTGTTCTTTTTTATCACTGTATAGTATACATCGTATGAATACACTGCAAGTTTGTTTATCCATTTTCCTACTGATGGATACATAGGCTGTTTCTGGTTTTTAAATATTATGAATAAAACTGTTATGAGCATTCTTATACAAGTCTTTTTGTGGATATTTATTTTCATTTCTTTTGGGTAAATACCAAGGAATGAAATTACTGCACTATAGGATTGGTTTACACTTAGTTTTATAAGAAACTGCCAGATGTTTTCCCAAAGAGGTTGTTCCATCGTATACTCCCACCACCCAGGTATGAGAGTTCTAGTTGCTTCATGTCCTCCCCAAACTTTGGTGCTATCAAGTCTTTTTAATTTTAGTCATTCTAGTGGGTGTGTAAAGATATCTCACAGGGTTTTAATTTTCATTTTTCTGATGACTAATGATGTTGAACAACTTGTGATGTGCTTAATGACCATTTCTGCATCTTCTTTTTGGAAGTATCTGTTCAATTCTTTTACTCGTTTTTAATTATTTTTCTCTTTTTAATTGTTGAGTTGTAGAAGTTATTTATGTATTTTCGATACTAGTCTTTTATCAGATACATTTTGTGAATATTTTCTCTCAGACTGTAGATTGCCTATTAATTTTCTCAATGACATAATTTGATGAGCTGAATTCCTTAGTTTTGATGGAGTCTAATTTATCAATTTTTTAAATGGTTTTTGTGATAAACTTTTGTTTAGTCCCAATTCACAAAAATATTCTCCTATGTTTCCTTCTAAAAGCTTTATAGTTTTAGCTTTTATGTTTAGCTCTAATATCCATTTCAAATGAATTTTTGTGTATGGTATAAAGTAGGAGTCAAGGTTTACTTTTTCTGTGATTTCTTTACAGACCAATTCTTAATCTGTGGACTCATGAACACAGTCTGTTATTCTCATTTTACAAATTGAAGGCTTCCTATGTGATAGCCAGTTTCTTAGTGATATAAATAAATAACGATAATTCAATGTGATAGTTTCTATATTAGTACTAAGTGTATAAAACCATGGGCAGGGGCTGGCTGGTTAGCTCAGTTGGTCAGAGTGCAGTGTTGGTAACACCAAGGTCAAGGGTTCGGATCCCCTTACCGAACAGCTGCCCAAAACAAACAAACAAAAAACAAAACCATGGGCAGCAGGGAGCAATAAAGTGTACTCATAATTTTGCATCATGGTAAAAACAGCTACTAAATACTTGATAGGTTGAGAATGCTTTAAGGAGGACAGAAACTAGGGCTTAAGTTTTGGTTAAAGGGACTAGAGTTTTTTAGGAAGGATTTGCTTTACACCAAAATTGAAAATAAGTGAAGTTTATTATCTTAATCGGCCCCTTTCTCTTCTTTTGGTAACACTCTGTTTTTCATTTTCTCCTTTTTTTCTTTGAAGCTGCCCTCTCTTCTCTCACCATACATCCTGGCTGCTTAGTATTCTAGAAAACCTTGTTAAGGCCCTGGCAGCAATTCACACTTCTCTCTCTTCTTTCCTTGTCATGACAATTATAATCCATCCTGGGTGTCCTCCCTCACTCAGGGGACTCTATAGTCAACCATGGGCTAAAACACATCTCCTAAATCAAGTAACATGGTTATGTTAGTAGCTAATTACGACTTACATCACCCTCCCAGTGGTGCTTCCATTTTTAAGTGGGACTCTGGAAGACTTAATAATCTCGATATGATCTTAACTTATGAATTTCACTGTCCCTCAGTCTCTGCCCTGAAAATGGAGACAGTAATAATAACTCACACAGATTTTTGGAGAATTAAATAAAATAATACATGTGAAGTATTTAGAGTAGTTTCCTGGGATATAGTAAGTGCTCTGTAAATGTTTGGCACAAGAGAAGGAATCACAAACGGGAGAGTGTAAGGTAGAGATATTTGGGGGTGGGAGGTAAGAAACTTCCTTAAACTTGTCACATCTTGATGCTTAGGTGACAAAATGTTGTGGCCTGAGAATGAAGGGCTGCAAATACAGGCCTCCCTTGGAGACAGAGACCACGAATTCACAGTGGCCCATGTGAAGGACACAGTAATACTGAGCCTGATGCATTCAAGACTTCTTAAAATCCTTGGTCAGTGTTAAAGTATGAAATACAGGCGCCCTCTGCCGGTCATCGGGGGAAGTGAGAACTCAAGCCTTGGCAGCAACTCGAGCCAGCTGCAGCCAGAGCCCAACCTTGGAGGATCCCTGGAGCCTGAGCAGAGAAATGTGGGAAAGGTATGTACCTGTGGTCTCAGGTGACAAAGAGCTCTGTGTGAGCTTCAGGTTGCATGTGTCAACCTTCCCCAAGGCAAGGATCAAATAACCATGATTACTTACAAAGAAAGGGAAACATAGAACCCACTGTGAAGAGGAGCCGCTTTATCTTCTCAACTCCTGGCATTTACCAGGATGGTGACAGGCCCCTGAGGCAACAATTGTCACAAGCTGCAGAGCAGTAGGTCAAAAACTTTCCTTTGACCTCGAGGCCCACCTGAGACAAAGTTGATCCTCTGTCTTCCAGGTTTCTTTACAAATAGGGATGGTATGCCTATTCTGTGCCAGGCACCATTTGGCAGATATTTTCATGTTAAGACTACATTCTTGTGAGGTACTATCAACCCCATTTAACTGGTGAGAAAACCACCGCTCAGAGACTTCAGAAAACTTGTCCAAGGCCACCCTGTTGCTAAGGGACTGCACTAGTTTGCTAGGGCTACCATAAAATATCACACACTCGTTGGCTTAAACAACAGAAATTAATTTTCTCCTGTTCTGGAGACTGAAAGTCCAAGATCAAGGTGCCAGCAGATTTGTTTTCTCCTGAGGCCTCTCTCCTTGTCTTGCAGATGACCACATTCTTACTGTGTCCTCCCTCACACGGCCATTTCTCTGTGTGCACATACCTCTGGTGTCTCTCTGTGTGTCTTAATTTCCTCTTTCTTTGGGGACACCAGTCAGATTGGATTAGTGCTCACCCTAATGGCCTCACTTTAAGTTAATTACTTTTTTATTCTTAATTTTAAAAAAAATTTAACATTCACTTGTACATATTTGTGGGGTACAGTATGTTGTTTTGATACATGCATATACTGCACAATGATTCATTTAGAGTAGACAGCATAGTTTTGAATCTGTTGGTTCACCACTTCTTGTCCTCTGCAATCCTCTCCCCTCCTGGCCTCTGGTAACCATTATGCTACTCTCTACTTCTATGAGAACTATTTTTTCTTTTTTTAAAGATTCCACATGTGAGTGAGATTTTGTGATATTTGTCTCTCTGTGTTTGACTTACTGCACTTAACATGATGGTTTCCAGTTCTGCCCATGTTGTTGCAAATGATAGGATATCATTTCTTTTTACAGCTGAATAGTATTCCATTGTGTATACATACCACAGTTTTTTTATCCATTTATCTGCTGATGGACATTTAGGTTGATTTCATATCTTGCTATTGTGAGTAGCTTTGCAATGAATATGGGAGTGCTGGTGTCTTTTTGATATATTGATTGAATTTCCTTTGGGCATATACCCAGTAGTGGGATAGCTGGGTCGTAAGGTAGATCTATTTTTAGTTCTCTGATGAACCTTGTTAAAGGCCTTATTTCCAAGTATAGTGACATTCTGAGGTATTGGGGGGGTATGGCTTCTACATATGAATTTCGGGGGTAAAGGGGACACAATTCAGCTCATAACAAGGACCACGTCAGGCTTCAATCTCAGGCTTTCTGATTTCAGTCCATGTCCCCTTCTAGAATCCCATGGATGCTCTGTCCTCAGGCTTAGGCAAAACATGCTTTCACTTGATTTCAGTGGAAGTGCTATGAATCTGAATTTCAGTTTCTATGAATCTGGGGGAAATCCCCTATACAAATTCAGTCAGAATGGCTATATTTTCTGTGGCTTCCTTCTAGGGAGATGAACTAAGGTAAACAAGATCTAAGGTCCCAAGTTCACCTAACTGTTGGGGAGTTAATTCCCTGCTGAGAAAACCCTCTCTACATTTGTAAGAAAATATACCTTGTCTTTTTCCTCTTGGTTTGAGTTGATAACCAGTGCCCTGGACCAGTCTGACAGCACCCCCATGTGGCTTCTCAGTTAGGACAGACTCTCTGGATACTGGTACTCAGAGGAAGGCCCCATGCTAGTTCAATAGCTCAGAGGAAATGAAGCCACACATTGCACTGGCATTTGGGAACAAACTCTTGAGCAGAGCTGCATTTCCTTCTGTCGACACACAGGCCTGGGGACACATGATGCACCCCTGCAATATCCTTGTGACCAGCAGGGGCTCACATGAACATGTGTGGAAAGCAATGGGAAAAAAAATCACTCTAGTCTGAGCAGAGAGCTGTACTAATAAGGGAGCGGGGGTATTTAAAAATAAGAATAAGCTA